TGTTTTTGAAATCTGAAGTCTAAAAATACGAAACCTTTTTTTTTTTTTTTGGTACTTTGATAAAAACTGACTTAAGAGCTCCATGATGGCTCTGTTAGCATGACTGTGGTGTCTGACTGCCTGGCCTCCTTGACAACTGTGAGATGAGCTTGAGGGAAGGAAAGGAGTCAGTAGTACAACCAAGGTTTAAGAAAACAAAGAGGGAATGTGGGCCATCTTATATTGATAGGCTGACTTCAACGTTAAAAGAACCAAACAACTGAATAGCGGAATAATTAGATTACAGGAGAAGTCACCTGGGGTTGTACAAATTTGTCATGAATAAGTCCTTGCAGCTGTGGAACATCTGTGCCTGACAAGGAAGGGAGAAACATGGACCATTAAGGAAATCACAGCACTATAGCACTGACTGTGAGGCCCATGAGCACCTTGCATCGAGAGGATTCCCATGAGAAATGTGTCTGATAAGCTCTACTGCTGTTGTAGCCAAGTCAATACACTGGAACCTTTCATAGATGTGGGGTAGAGAGGCATACTCAAGGTGTTTTCATCATGTTTCCGGAGACTATGTGATCACTCACCCCTTCTCTTAGCACCTATAGAAAACATCAACAGGAAAAAAAAAAACTAGCTTAGAAAATAGAGGGCCCACAACACGCATCTCTGTTGGGGTGCATACGTGATTTAGGGGATGAACAGTGAAATTGTTATTCAGGTTTCGAGACAATCATGAAGACATTTTTTAGTATGCTGCAAGGGCAGAGTATATGGCCTGTCACTGTTAAAAACATCAGTGCGTGGGACGACGAGCCACAGCAACAATCAATAGAATGAGCTGACGAGAGTCAAGTGGGCAGAGAGAGAAAATGCCATTTTAACTGAATTAAAACAACCACATTGGCTAGTGGATACCGTGTGGTGCAGTGAAATGTGTACAATACATTACATGGCGTAACTAGGCAGAGTTTCTCAATTAAAAAAATTTCTGTAAAACAAAATAAAGGGTGGCACATTAATACTGACTACAGCTCAGATGAATTTCAAAAGAGTCATATGCAATAATTCCATGTACCTAAGGCATAGAAATGTTGTTGAGGCATAAGAAGAAAATGATGGTCAAAACTAAGTAACTAAAGATGACCTTGAACTTCTGATCCTTCTGCCTCTAACTCCGGAATTTTGGGATTATAGGTCAGTGTTAAAATTCCTATTTTATGGAGTGCCGGGGATTGAACCTGGGTTTTGTGCATGCTAGGCAACTTGTCTACTACATCTCCAGTTCTTTAGATACATTTTAAAGAGAAAATATTGAACACTGAATTTTTGAATAGAACATAACACATGAATAAAGGACTAAGGCATATAGCCTTAAGAGAAAAATATGGCCTCCTAACTAGTAATTTAGCTTACGTAGCACAGAGCTATATGTAACCACAGAAGCTATAGAACCTTAATCTTAGAGATTTGAACAAGATCTAATTCAGAATAGAATGCAGGCAGTCTGTGAGAAAGCAACCTGGGCAGAACATGTCCCAAAATCTCCTTCAGGTCTGTGTATCTACTTTCTGAAACTGACACATCCATATGGAGAGTGGAGAAATAAAGTCATGAGTTTACAATCAAACAAATTTCAACAAAGATGGTAATCACACTGCAGAAAGTACAATTTTTTCAACAGGAGATCAAGGCAAAACCAGACAACTGGGACTGCATTAAAGTTAAACTGAAAAGCAAAAAGTCAATAGAGTGGTAAGTGGTAGGAAATCTGTACAAATGCCCACCACGGATACTCATGCTCAGCTGGCTTGTCAACAAACCTGATGACTTGAGTTAGATCACCAGAACTCACATGGTACAAAGAGAAAACTGACTTCTGCAAGCTCCATACACATGCTGTGCCACATTCATGTGCTCTCTCTCTCTCTCTCTCTCACACACACATACACATACACACACGCAAGCATGCACGCATGCACGCACACAATACACATGCACACACACACATGCACTCATGCACACACACAGGCACCAGAAGAGGATGTGGGATCTCCTGGAGCTGGAGGTACAGGCACTTGTGAGCTGCTTGATGTGGGTGCTGGGAACTGAACTCAGGTCCTCTGCAAGAGCAGCAAGATCTCTTTATTAATGAGTTATCTCTCTATTGTCCGACTGAAAAACAGTTGGGAAGGGAACAGCTGCAGAGAAGTTTGAGGGGAGAACATCCTCAGGAGTTGGAATGGCAACCATGGACTGTGGAAGTCCCAAGGTAAAAGCAATGCTGTCTCCAGTCAGTATCGTGAGAAGATGGAGGGGACCACTTTGCGTGCAAAGAAGACAGTGACACTTAGGAAAATATTAAAAGATACAGAAAAAAATCACCCTTGGGAATTCACTCTGATCTCCTGGACAATATGTGACCAACCATACTTTGCCACCAATAGATGATAATTTTCTCAGGAGGTCATAATGTGTTCCTGGTGGTTGAGGACCCTGTTGTGTTTGACTGAAGAGACGTTTAATATGAAAATGGCTTTTTGCCAGCTATCTCTAGTCCATTATAGTGGTAATGTGAGTTTAATGCAACATGGCATTTACCATGGCAAAGAGTTACCAGGGTGTGGAACAAGAAATAAGCCTGATGTTGCCAGACATCATCTTCATGCTTTCTGCCCTCTTGGCTTGGAAATACTTAAGATGATGTAATCTTTGGGTCCACTTTTCCAAACAATAATAGAGAGCTGTTCTGTTTTAGACACTCACTGGCATAGAGTCACATTGACATGGAACAATCAAAGTAGGCCAATAACAGAATCTTCTTCTTTGTTCAGATGACAAACCAATGGGCATCTTTCCGGGAATTCACAGACCTGGCAAGTGGGGCTGACTGCTAGCAAGATAAATCAGGTTTGCTTGGTGTTTTGTTTTAGCAAATACCAGAAGTAGTGATTACAGTTCACTTGGGTCTTGAACTGATCTTAAAAATGCTGACAGTTAGTTAAATCACTCACTGGGTGGAATAATCACCCTGAAAGAAGCTGAGAGGGTGCAACTTGTATTATAAAATGAACTGAGCACACCAGACACAGCACTAATGGGCGTAGCAGATGAGATCTTTGTCAGAATAACAGAGATGATTAAAGGCATGAATTAGACATCATCTCTCCTGGTACTCTCAGTGACATGAACACAACAGCTAAATTGAGCAATTACAAAGTTAAGTGTAACTTGGAGAGCATCTTTCTCCTTTAGAAAACAGTTGGTATCAAGTTAGCTTAGCTTGTCTGAATCACTCAGTGGCTAGCTGCAAACTGTTTTGTCTTGTGAAACCCTCTGGGGAAGGGACAAGCTAGAAATCTAGCATCATGGTATGCCATCCAAAATAAGAAATGCATTATAAAATATTAGATTTTCCAGTGGCTACATGCGGCAGAACTCTGATAACAGGGTTGTGAAGTGGACTGGCCTTTCACAGACAGCTCTGTATGCAGACTGCTCAAATGTAATACCGGGCCCAAACTACCCCCAAAGGTACATTTTCTATTTGTACAAATTTCTGAGACTAAACATGTATAATTGTGTAATTAGATAAAACAACATTTTAAAATAAAAGTAGAAGTGAAAAGCATACTTTTCAAGAGAAGGTCAAAGCACATGACATAACTACTACCTGCACACTGCTTCTGCTGGCCTCCCCCTTCTGCTCCGCAGCAGCTGTCAGAAGGGGACATGATCAGCACTAGAGGGCACAAGCAATGAGCCTTCAAGGGATCTCACAGCCTCTGGCTATGGGCCTGTGTTTCACAGAACAATTTATCCCTGTGAATTCCATCCACTCCTTTTCCATTTCTAGGCTGCAATTGTGGTTACTCAAAAAATAATAATAATAATAATAATAATAATAATAATAATAATAATAACATCTCAAAGGACACTGATAATAAGTAACTGATTCCAAAGTTTACTGTCACAGTAAACATGGGCAGTTTCTTCCTAATGACCATCTGATTGCTAGCCCTAACAGGACAGAGATAATCTGCCTGCTCTCTTCCTGCCAAGAGCTTGTTTTTCCTTATTTTGCCTCTTCCCCTCCACTTACACATCTAGACTTGCTTTCTTTCCTGCACCTCTCCTCTACACTACACATTCTAGAACATTCATGATGAATTAATGCTTTCTAAAAAGCATTTATTGGTGGCTAGAGTGATAGCCCGGCACTTAATGCTCTTGCAGAGGGTCTGGGCTGGCTTCTGTTCCCAACACCTATATGGGGACTCATAGCCACCTATAACTACAGACCTAGGAGACCCCACACCTTCTTTTGGGCTTCAAAGGTACTAGGCACACACAGAGTAAATATACACAAATGCCGGAAAACTACATATATGTAAAATAAATCTTTATAAAAGGCATTTATTTTATAGCAATTAAAGTTTATGTGCCTTAAAGTTTTCTAATTATTATCTTTAAACAACTGGTCCTTGATTGAAGGGTTCTCATTTTTATTTCCTACCTTAATCCTCAATTTCTTAGAAACCTATATCTGTTAATCCTCATTTTCCTCTTTTCCTGAATAACTGTCATACTTATTACCTCTATTTTCTATTTAAATCACTTCTATTGTTCTCTTTTTAGATACTTTTTATTAGCTTTTATCTAGTTAGAGGATGAATGTAGCCATGCACTCAGGCTCTAAGAGAAGTTGCTGAAAGAAGACAAAAGGAATTGCTTTCTGTTCTTGAGACTCAGTGTTTCCATTTTAGAGTGTGTTGTGTTTCTAGGGTTTAGTATGATGACATGAGCTGTTTTGGCTTCTCCTACTCCACAGAAGGAATCTGAGATGAGTTCTTCCCCAGAATCTCAAAGTAAGAGAGACGCAGTGTGAACACACAGGGCTCTGACAACCTGGAGAATGCTCCCTTAGATGACAAGCACACTCACTCACATTCTGAATGGAAGTACTCTGCAATCAGCCAGCAGTTGCCACCCTCCTAGGCACTTACTCTGGGATGTAGAGAGGTTGGCAAATGCTGACTTTGTTCGGCCGGCCAGCCATTCCAGGCTTTCATGCATGTTGGCCAAGGCTTTGAGGTCGCTGACATCACGGAGGATGTCTTGTGGAGGAATCAGTTTGTCACCAAGGTTCCCAATTAGAACTTCAGATTCTTTGCCAAAAGCTGCCCTGAAAAACAAATCAAAGTCATAGTTCATTTACTGCTTGGGGAAGACTGGGGACATGTTTCATTCATTTATTTTAAAAAGAAAACGAAGAAACTAAAATATAAGCAGTAATCTATGTTGTGACAGAGCTGACTATCTTCAAATGTTCTTGGGGTGGGAGGAAGTTGCATGGTGTGCTAAAGGAACTCTGGAGACCACATGCCCCGACACGGCAGGGATGACTTTTGGGAAATGAACTGCTCTATTTTCACAAATTTTTTCTTCTAAGGGGGGAGAGAGTGGTGGGAGAGAGGGGGGGGAGGGGACAGACTGCTGCAAAACTGAGAAGTGATGACTAGGAGTGAGGTTTATATGATGGGTATGCAGAGCTGACATCCGAAGAGGTTGAAAGAGGTGCCTGGGGCCTTTCCTAAGTCCACCTTAGTGAACGGATGTGAGGGCTCCATTTAAGTGCAAAACTACAGCTTAAGCTTTGAGTAAATAGTGAATAGCAACATAAAATACAATAAAGAAGACTCTTAATGGACATACAGGCACTTAAGATCCAGCAATAGGGCAAGTGTGCACCATGACAGAAACCATGCTTTGAATTAAGTGCTATTAAAGATGTCTGACACTAAGCCTTTGCTCAAGATTAATTTCATTTTGACAGAGGGTTATGTTCTTAAACGGAAAAGTTATAGGTGATTGGATGATTTGGATAAGTTGTGCCTAAAGCGGCAATAAAGCACACTGGACATTCATATGAAATCTGGGTGTGTTGACAAACTCTACCGGTGATCTGAGAAAAGATATTGAGGTGATTGACTCCTAAATGGCACACACTGAACTTGTTTCCAAGTGATATTTGGGTAAAAATTGTGCTCCGGCTTCTAAGTTGGGAAACCCAGGTGTGAAGCTTGGCAACTGAAGGTGGGATGCCAGACTTCCCGGGGGGGGGGGTGCATCTGCTGGCAATGGTACTGACTTCTGTAGTAAAGTGAGGATTAGGTGAGGTGACTTTGAAAACTTTTCATTGGGAAAATATCAGTAGTCACTGAACAAATTCTATGGCCATTCCCCAGTTTCACCACCAGCAACTTGTAGTGAATTGTGTTTCCTCTGTTCTCATCCCCTGCCCAGGAATATTTAAGTGCATAACACAGTGCTTGGGATCTAATAGAAATCATAACATTTTAGCTATTATTTTCTTAGGGCCATTGAGAAGGCTATGTGTTGATAAATGCACTTAAACAGGTAAGAGTGTGAGCAGTGGGAACTAAGTCTCTAGGGGTAGTATTACAAATGGAACCTTCTAGTACTACAGTTACTCTAGAGGTGAGTTACTGTGACAGAAATCACTGCTCTCCTAGCTAGTACTCATTATTTGAGTCCCACCTTCACATTATTATGGTTGAAAGTGTGCCCAATGTCAAAACAATGAAACAAACAATCTCACTAAATTTCACTGTTCACTTGCAAATGTGGTCCTGAGTGCCATGTGATATGCAGTCAGAGCTGTGTAGGAGGAAGCTCTCTGGAGTGATCGTGGTGGATAAGGACTAATTCTGCCTACTCCCTTTCTGGCATGCGGCCATAGCATAGGGACTCTTCTCAAACATCAGAAGACTTAGAAAGTAGAAGTCACGGCTAGGAACAATGGAGTCTAAAGGTAAGATGGTTCAAGCATACTGTGACATCACAGGTACCACACCAGCGCCAGACAATACGCTTCTAGGCCTCAAGTCAGAGAAGAGAAAATGAAGGCCTCTTTGTTTAAGCTGCGTTTATCTCTACTTTGCTAGTGGCTGCTAAATGCAATTTTTAACTGACATGATCATCTAATCAGCATAAATGAGATCATCCTCAGAAATCTTCCTCTATATTCTGTCCCTAAAATCTAGTTACTGGGAAAAGCAAAACTAAGTCTTCTTCATGATCGAGGCCAGAAAACATCTATCATATCTTCCCTTGGGCCAGGTTGCAAATATTTACTTTTCTTAATATGTCCTTACAAATCAAATTTCCAGTCCCTTAATCATCTTTGACAGATATAACACAAAAATTGTCTCTGAGCTAGGTGGTTAAAAAGCAACAGGGGAGACAAAGAGCTTTGAAAGCCAGGCTCGGAGCCATTTTTATGCATGCAGGTCTAACTCGGGGTGGAATGTGGCCATCAAGACAAGCGTATTTATGCAGAAGTCTAATCCATGTGTGCAGGTCTATGTGCCCCAGGCATGTCTGAGCATGCTTCCAGCACTGGATGCTGGTCCTCTTCCCTCTGGATCACTGAGATTTGCTTAACCCCCTCAGACAGACAGGAGAGCAATAGACTTAGAAAAACACAAACTGCCTCATGTTGAATATATAGTAGACATCTCATTTGACAGGAACCCATAATCACCCCCTAACAACCTGGAAGACACATAGAAACCATGACATGGAGAATAACTGATTGACAGCTATAACCATTTCACATACAAAATCGTTCCTTTGAGGATTTGTGTATGAGTGAAAGAGCCTGGTGGAAGATTTTTATGTGTTACAATAATCTTAGTGGAATGGCTAAAGTAGCCTGACTGCAGATTTATTTTCTGAACCCTATGATTTATTAAATTGTACCATATCTACACAATAGAGTCATTAGAAATTATTCAGCAGAGAACTCTTAATATCATAGAAAATGTTTGGTGTAGCTTATTTTTACTGATGATATGCAGTTGGGTCAAACAAAAAATTGCACAGCATACAGTGTAATCTAAGTATCCCAGGAAAGGAGACAGGAGGACACAGGAATCACAGATAGTAGAACAAAATTAGGAGGAGAGTGGTTAGCTTGTGGTTGGCCTTGAGTTGTACCTCCAGTTTGATGGACATAACTAATGTTTCTGGAAATACTTCACAGCTAAAATATTGGTTATTGACATCTGCATGAGAATTATTGCTCCTTTAAAGTAAGAATTTCACATTAATTATCTTATTTTGAAAATATATTATTTAATGAAGATATACTTTTGAATGCACAGGCAACAGAACAATTGTGTTGAGAAGGTGAGGTAACAGATAACTTGGTAGTAACAGGTCCTCCCTCATCATTGTGCAGAGATGACATGATGTGTAGCCAGGGACAGATAGGAGAACTCACAACTCCTATCTTTAAAGAACTGATCTCTAGGAAAGAGTCCCTTCATAGCCAGCTGGCCAATAAGCTCACACAGCTCATGAAACTGAAGAAGTGTGGTAAGCTTCTTAAGCTTATATTTTACCATACTTTAAAGACCTTGATCTGACAAGGATTCATTTAAGAGAATTTTGCCAAGAGTGTTAAATCTGTTTAACTTAATTTTTACCACACAATTATAATCTTTAAGGAAGTCTATCTGACAAGAATTCATTTCAAAGAATTTTGCAAAGGATGCACAAAATTGTCTCCATTTAGAACTTAAATAATTCTGTTATCTACTAAAAGGAAGAGAAAAAAAAATCTGCGTTTTCAGCAGGCTACATGGAGTTATGAAAGAAACATCATAAATGATTTCAAAAGTGATGGATTTGATGATCTGGGCTGTATCAGACATGACACACACCCATTTTCATCTCTTTTCCTGTGCCCGTTCCCTGATCTTTTACTGCTGTTTCCTAGTGCTAAGTTCGGCTAGGAGGTAATGGCCTCCTGATCCTGGAGCCCACACCATTGTGCCAGAGTGAGGAGAGGGAAGAGCAAAGGCCACACAGTGGCTATGCAGAGACTCCTTCCTTCCTGGCCTGCCAGTTTCATGTGTAACAGGCACCTGGGGCATGGGGTCGCCTTCCTAGCCTGAAAGATGTGTTCCAGCCCTTCTGTTAGGTCCACATAGTCCCTGTATCTTGTTTAACAATATTGGGACTGTGCAGACTCCAGGCCTCCCCTCCTCCAGCCATACACTCAATCACCCTGATGGGGCTGGCAATGCAGAGCAGTGAGGTGGCCTGGGCAGAATTCAGCTCTCACCAGTTGGGAAACTACTGATATTGCTGGTGTGCTGGAATACCTGACCCCAAGACCAATCACACTGTATCCCTTACCAACAAGCTGAGTCTGGGGATACAGGATTAAAAGTATAAAGGGTCTCTATTCTCATTAGTAATGTTACTCATGGGGTAACTTTTCCCCTTTCCCCTTGAGCTTTGGGCAGAGGCAACCTGGAGGAACCCAGGAAGGAATGCTTCTGCTGGAAGACACAACAGTGGCTGTTTTTGGTTGGAAGGAGAGCTTGTCATCAGGCTGCTTCGAACTTTGCACATGACTGAACCAACTGACAGAGTTACTTGGATGCCTAGGAGGAGTGACCTGATTTTCCAGGGAGAAAGTAAGTTGTCTCAATGCAATAGGATGGACAGGATCATCTAGATCCATAGCAGTGCTCTTAGTAATTTCATGTTCACAGTAAACAGCATGGTAAAGTAATGGTACCCAGAAACAGGCAGGGTCATTAGCAATTCAGGTCTCTAAGGAACAAAGGCTAGAAAAGAACAGGAGAGCAATCTGGCCAGCTGAGGTACAAGCCAACAGGCAAGGGCAACATGGGGCAGGTGGCTGCAGTACAGGACCCTTCCTCCTGGTGTCTTGTTGGCAGGGTGGACACACAGCTGTGGCATCTTTGCATGCCAAGACAGGCAGCAACCAGGATTGTTTTTGCTTTTACTTCATCTGCTATTTTATTAATGTTGAGTATCTGTACAAGGGTTCCAGTCTCCCTACAGCCTCGCTAAATTTGTGTTTCTTTGTTTTTAAATAATAACCATCTTTATGGGTATGGCAGAGGGTTGTGAAGACCCCATACTTGAAATGAATGTAATGACTCAAGAGACTTCTTTTGCAGAAAAGCAAAGAATGGCTTTGCATGATGAGTAGTTACTCTGTACTGAGTAGAAGCAGGGCTTCTAAGATTTAAGTATAAGATGTGATTAAGAATGAGTGTCCGGTTCTGCCCAGAGCCATGACAGAGTGAGTGAGACAGGAGACCCAGGCGCTGAGGGGAA